ACTGTGACCAAATATTGTTGGTGTATTGGGATTGGGGGACGGGTGAGGCGAATGGGACGAAGTGTCTGTGACCATCTTTTTGGTTGATCTGTGACCTGTGACCAAATATTGGTGATGTACTGGGATCGGGGGACGGGTGTTTGGGTATATGTGACTATCTTTATGGTAACTATGACCTTAAAATTCGTTACTATGTGACTGAAAATATAATCTGTGACCAACCATCCGGTAATCTGTGACCTAGAAAAAAAATCTGTGACCAACTAATTTGGAAATTTGTGATTGTGTGACCTATAAATTTTGATCTGTGACCAACTAATTTTGAAATCTGTGACCAACGAATTAATTGTGACCTAAAAAATTTTTGAGCTGTGACCGTAAGTTGTAAATCTGTGACCGAAATGGTCGTCGAAATATTCGCCGGAATAATTGCCGGAATCGGAACGGTAGCCGGAGAAGAATGGTGGTCGAAATGATCGTCGGAATAGTTCCCGGAGTGGGGTGGGTTAGGTATGTGGGTTGAGTTAATTATATTATATTATATTAAAATTAAATATTTAATAATAAATTGATTTAAAAAAAAAAAACCTGATTTTTGAATTGGTGTAAAGTATATACCTTATTTATGAACTTTTCCCCTTTTGTTTTTCCTTTGATTCTAGGGTGGCAACGGGCCTAGACTGCCTCGTTGAAAGCTTGGCTCGTGGGTTGCTGCTATCCAAGCCCAAGGTCCAGCCGCCTTATCCACTTTTATGGGTCGGATCGTCCACAGGGTCCAAAGATTTTTTCCTGAAAATTCTAATTACAAAAAATAAAAAATAAAATTACCATCACAAAGATCGGAGTTAGAATTTAATTAAAAATATATTATTCTGGATCAATACGTAAAAAAATAAAAATTTTCAAATAATTTTCATTTTTTACCAATGGACTGAGCGGAGATGAACTACTTCTAAATTCGTCACTGACTATTGCAAGCTAGCTCGAGCGACCTCTATTTTCAAATGATTGATTTTCTTTTATATGCTCGTAAGTCATAAAATTCACATTAATCTTTAGAAACCATTGGGAGGATAATATTTATGGAAACTTCTACACAATCAAAAATAGCAATAACATAAAAAATGCCGAAAAAAAAATTCATTTTCTACTATTCAATTTAGCATTTTGTTTGGATGAGATTTATTTTTTTATGGGAAAAAAATTGCCAATAAATCCAACCATGACACAACACAATTGGATTTCGACCGAGTCCGAAACGTACATTTCAACACGCGTTATATATTGGGCAACCCCACCCCACAATTGAATGCACGTACAGTTTCTGTACTGTAGCTGGAGATCCGAAGAGGTTCCTTTCTTCCGCTCATCAAATTCACATGATACTCACGACTGTAAACTTTTGCACTAAGAACTAATGGCGAAATTTTTGATCGACATTTCTGTGGTGTTGTAGGAATTATACAAACATTTTCTGATTTTCAGGTTCGTTACTACTCATTCTTCAGTATGTTTGTTTCGGCGCTAATTTCGCTCTTTGTGTTTAGTTCATTTTATGTGATTTTGAGATTTCGAATTTATGAAGTTGAATTTGTTGACGATGAGTTGTTGAATATGAATTTTAATGTAATAGTTTTAGATCTGCGCTAATGTATGTTTTGAGAAATACTTTTATGATCTGGTTGAGAAGAATGTGGTAGAGGTTTGGCACATAGGACATTGATCTGACTAGTTCAACTGGACGCTTCTGTAAATTGATGTCGACAAGTTACTCTACGAGACCAATAGTGGTTATTTCTTCAACATCCACGTGTCTAAATATGTTTATGGCTGGTGAAGCAAAGTTTACACGCTGATTTGATAGCTGCGGAGAGCGTTGGCAAAAGTGTTAAGGGAAGTAAATGTTAGGCCTTACATTTTCTAATTAGTGATAGCGAAACGCCCTAGGTTGAAACAGATTTTTGTAGGCACTATTAGAGTTTCGACCTTGATCAATTAATCTTCATGGTTTCTTGGGTAGTTGAAAAGGTTCAAGTTCTTAAAATTTTTGAAGGAACTCGTGAGAGTAAGGAAAGCATTTTCGAAACCTGTAGTTAGGTGGTTAATAATTTCATTGTTTGAAGAAGGATTAAATATTGTAACCAACTCTAACAAATCTAACTAACCATTACAAATTGCTAATTACATAAATAAAAAAACTAATCATTGCTTCCAAAAGGCCCCCAAACTCAAATTAGGTAGACTTTTACTTCATATTTGTACATGCACAGTTGTGAATCTTGAGCTTAGAATGGATTTATTATAACGCATCTGCTTACATGGTGAACTTCCACTTTCTTTTAAAGAACTTTATTCGTTCTTGCATGAAAGACTAGGTTTGCAACTAGCTTCATTGTACTTGAAAAAGATGACATATTATTGATATTTGGAATATACATTTTGAAAGATTTCAATCTTTCTCAATGGATGTCCTAGTCTATTAAGCCATAGATCAAAAACCGACAAGTTTGAAACATTTGAACATACATCCATACAGAATCATAAGAAACAAAACTCCTGGATCAGCAGCTTTGTCAAAGAATCAGATGAAGGGTTGTGTTTCTGATGGTTGAATTGCACAGAGTCGAAAGCTTTTACTCCTTAAGTTTCCCCTGCACCAGCACAGTTCTGGTAGCCTGATCCTTAGATGATATTAGTCTGGCCAATTGCGAGGAAAAGGGCTGGAAAGAGGAGAAATGGAGTTAAAATTCAAAATCGTTTCATATTGTTAGTTTGAAAGAGAATGTGTTGCGCATTTAGACATTTTCTCTTGCATTTTATTTTCTCCTCTTTTCTCTCAAAAACAGACAAAAGTACTTGTTTTAGTTTTAGTAGTGTTATAAATGTATAATTCTTTTTTTGCATTTTGATAAGTAAAGATTTTATTATTAACATCTGTGTAAAAGGGGATGCTGTCCAATATCTACACGAAAATACTTACAATTTTGTCACTCTCACCTTGGCAAGAAAACTTACCCCAATATAAGAACACAGAATATCATTCTGTCCCCACCAAAAATTCAATAGGTAGATGGATACGCTATTTCTCTCCTGTTGATTTCTTCCCTTTGTTCATATCTAATATATTTTCAAGAGATCTTCTTCCTTTGTGATGAATATAGAGTTCTCCTGACACCTGTTTGAGGTCACTATCTAACTTGATTGCTGACTGCTCTCATTTTATATGCAAAGAGCTTGTTGACATGCAGAGATCGATTACCACATGGATGTGTTAGTTAAAACCAGCTACCACATTCATGAAACCCAACAATTGCATTCACATTGTATTTTGCTCATTCTCTCATCCTTTTCCAGGTTCAGTAGATGTCCATTCATGTTACAACTACTGCTGGTTTGCTAAGAAAATGGCACTTTCATCATCTATCAAAGCAATGAATAGCAACAGTTGAGTTAACAATACCTCAACTCTGTCTAGAACTCTTCTAAAATTCAAATATTCCAGTCTTGACGAAGTTTGGTCAGCTAGAACTCACTGGCGTGATTGCTTACGGGAAGCTAAATAAATACAATGGTCAGCAAACAACATTTGTTGACCTATTTGTGTCTGTTGGTCTATATATTGTTATCCTCAGGAGTTATTTTGTACAACAAGGTATGTATTGTATAATTAAAATCCATGATGAATCTCTGATGCTATTCTCTCTATCTCTCTTGCTTTTGCTTGATATAAATTTTGCAGCATATTTGTAACTCTTATTAATATCACTGCCTCACCCTCACCAATTTTGGATCATTTTAGATTTAAGGGTGGAGAGTTTCTTTTGGAATTTCGCTACGGAATCAAGCTTTGGTGTTTAATCTACATCCTCACGATCACTGTGTGCACGAAATGCACACTTCTATTATTTAGGAATTACGAAATGCATTGACATTGGGCACCAAGATGGCAATATTCTTCATTCTGAAATTGGCTCAAGTAAAATAAACAATCATGAAAATTATGCCATTGTTTTGTCTCATTTTAAAACAAAACTCTTTAATTCTCATACTCATTTTCAACCACACATTTACATAATAAAATATTTTGCACGTAAACCTAAAATTTTCTAACTTTTTAACCTTACATTCTCCCAAAAATCACTATTCAAAACATCATTTGTTTCAAAATAATGACCATCAAACAGGGGCTAAATAACACATCAAATTAGGTCCAAATAATTCTTGCAAAATGGCCCTGGTATTAAATGATTTACATGTTTATTTAAATTAGGTATTAAGGAAGAATAGATATCTCGAGGATGTGTAAACTTACTAGCTGATTCTCTAGCCTCTCTTTTTCCATTTCATTTTATGCAATTCCTTGCCAGAGGAGGAGGGAGGGAGTTATTCAATGTCAATTGTGTAATTCACCAACATCTTACAAGCTCTACATTTTTCAAATTCTCATGCAACCCAAAGACAGATAAAATTAATTAGTTATGACCTTTCTTTTTCGTAGAAGAATGATTTTCTTGTTTTGCTTTTCAGTCAACCACAAATTCCGTCCTCAGCAATAGTTTACCCGTATTTTTATTACATTTTGCAAATGACTTGTGCATTTATAAGTTCATTTGTACCTTTAATATTTTTGAAAGCTCGTACTGATTTGCTTCTTTTTTATGCTTATTCCAGTGGGTTCTCTCGCCAAAATATTTCAACTTCCCATTTCCAATAACGCTTACTATGATTCATATGGGCTTTTCGAGCTTGGTTGCATTTTTTCTAATCCGGGTTTTCAAGGTATAGGATTTTCGGAACATCTTTTGCTGTTTTTGTATTCTGTCATATTACGCTGTTGTTTGTTGAGATTGGCTCGTGGTGTGATGGTGTAAGTTGATAGTGAAGGCTGTAAACTTATGTTGGTTTTTTCCACTGACCTTGAATTATTAATTACAATGGTGTTAGCTGAGAAAAATGATAGAGAAAGTTAATCATTACTTTCATGAAAAGAGAGAAAGGGAAATTAGTGGATCGGCTTCTACAGTTTTGAAAAAATCATGCCTGAATTCACCCCTAGTTAATATAGTATGACAATTTTATAGAATGAGAAATGAAGGCTTTACAAATCAATCTATATTTGTTTATGTAACTATTTTTTGCTGAGGTCTCACATTGATGGGAAAAGTCCATGACCCGGGTTAATCTGATTATTTGGATTTGATCACTGTGGTTTTAATATATGCTTCCAAGTTGTCTGGTGCGGGTGTTAAATTCTCCTGCTCCATTTTTAGGACTGTTTCCTCTTACATGTTGCTTAATGGCCACAGGATTGTAAAATCTCCACTTGAGTCGTGTCAGACATATGCACAATTGTCATGTTGTTGTTCTGTTCCGTGCAGTATTAGTATTTTTATGCTTCTATCCTTCCTTCTAGATAATACATGCAAAACATTGTTAGCACATACTATACTATATGAACAAGTACAACAAGATACACACCATACCTTGTCGTACCATTTGACCAGTTGGGATGCATCCCTCTGGGATTTAGGGTATAATTACTTGTTTAGTTTGTTTTTTCCTTCTAGTTTCTTCATTCCAGATGTCACGTTTGAATTGAAATGATTTGCTAATGCTCAGTGTTGTGCTCCCTTGGCACAGTATCAAAAAACTTTGCTTATAGAAAAAGAATTGCATCCTTTTGCTAGTTATCTATATAAACTTCCATAATATATGTTTACCTCTTCGATGTATTTCTTACCGTGCTTGGCTGATTTGATGTTAACCTATTATGATTTGTGCAGATTGTAGCACCTGTCAAGATGACGTTTGAAATGTAAGAGATGGGCATCCACGTTTCTTATTTATTTCATCTACCATTTTGTATATGACCATTTCTAGCTGAATTTGCAGATACGCCACATGTGTGATTCCTATCAGTGCTTTCTTCGCATCAAGTCTTTGGTAAGCATGGTTATGTCGATTGGGTAATCTTGCTTGGGTTTTGCCAAAAAAAAAAAACTTTCATCACATTAAGGCATATTGGTTCTTAGATCATTTGATAACATTGAGGTTTTAGATCAACTGATTTGATTGTCACCTCAAACTCCTTTACTTTTGTTTGTGAACACAAGGTAAATTCCTACTCAAAATAACCATCATGGATCTTCTCTTTGGTGATGCCTTAATATGCTACTGCAAATAAAAATAGGCAATTTAGACAGTTATTTTAACTCATTATTTGATGTTATTTCCACTGATTTTTTAGCAAGGGATGAATCGATGTTGTTAAGTTTCAAACAGGCCTATATTCATACAGCAAGTTTTTGGCTTGCATTGAAAGAAATCATCCCTTCCTTGGGTGTGTTCTTAATCGACACAGTTATAGGACAAAACTGCAGTGTATTACAAGCAATCTATTAAAACAAATAAATGAGTGTGTAGACCAGTCATACCTGCAATAGAAGATATTATCATCAGATCATCATAGTATTTGGCAATGTTTTAAACAGATAAATGCTTTGCTACTAATTTTCGTTTCATATGCGTCTTTTATAAGTGCATTTGTGCATTTGGCAATGTTCTAAAATTCAGCCTAGACATTGACTTTGAAAAGGTGAAGTATCAAGGATTAAATGGGGTTAACCCGGTGGTAGAAAAAGTATGACTAATAAAAATAAATTGGGGTAAATCGGCTGGTTTGGGTGTAAACCAACCGGTGCTGCGATTATTTTTACGGGTTCTGAATTTCAGTTTTTTTACAATTATCCAGACTAGAATTTGGACCAATTTGAACCCTTTAGTCTCGTCTGCTTCCTATAACATTGGTGTTTGGAGATGATTATCTTCATCTGCTCTGCTTTCTTCACATAACCTTGATGACTTCCTAGTCACATCAGATTTTCACAAGGCGTATTTCTCTCAATTGAATTATTATTTTTTGCTCATACAGGTTTGGGAATACTGCTTATTTGTTCATATCCGTGGCTTTCATCCAGATGCTCAAAGCCCTAAGTATGTTCATATATTTTCTGTCATCTTAGCTTAAATTGCTATCCTCGAGAAACTAACTAATAAGATGTGTCCTGCTTCATACTGAATCACAGTGCCAGTGGCCACATTTCTCATGGCTGTTATTTGTGGAACTGACAAGTTAAGATGTGATATATTTCTGAACATGGTCTTGGTCAGTGTGGGTGTCGTTGTATCCTCGTATGGTGAAATCCACTTCAACATAGTGGGTACAGTATACCAGGTTACGGGAATATTTGCTGAAGCTCTTAGATTGGTCTTAACTCAAGTTCTACTCCAAAAGAAGGGCTTAACACTCAATCCTATCACGAGCTTATATTACATTGCTCCCTGCAGGTATTCTTCGTCCATGTAGAAGGCGTCAAGTGACTGGATACATTATAATGTTAGAACACATTTTAAGTAAAACATGATGAAAGAAAAAATGAGTGATTTTCATTTGTTTTACGACTTTCAATTCAGAAGGAATAGGTCGGCTTTTGGGGGGTAGAAATTTGAAATGGGTTTCAAATATTTACTGGAATAGAACATTTTGTTCATCATTTGAATGACCATTGTACACCAAATTTGAAATGAGCTTGTTATTTTCTACAAAGTTAGTTACAACTATGGTTTAGGGTTGAAGTCAAAGGGATTGGACAAGATAAGTTTAGCCCATGTTTGGTACCGATTAAAATCTAGATTTTAATCTAAGTTAAAATCAACAATTAATAATTTTTCAACCACACATTTCATCAAAATCTACTAGAAATCTGATTTTAATCCTCACCAAACAGGGCTCAATGGGTTAGTTGATTACTTTATTGATGTAACTTCCCAAGGATTCTAGAATAGTTCTGGAACTTATTATGTGATAAACTTTAATTTCTGAGAAAATCAAATTTTGCGACATCTAAATTTCTATATTTGGTATGTGAGATGCAATCCAGCCCTGTGTGGCGATGCCCAAGGACTTTAAAAGTGTTTCTTAAAGAGTTTCCTTAATTCCATCTAGTTGCACTATTCTTAACTCAATCTCTGTTTTACAACCTGGACCTACTATGAAGTTTCACCAAAGTTCAAGTCCTGTTGATTAAGTTATTTGTTGATTGAACTTAAAACTGGATGGGCAAGCTCACTTTCTGTTTGCAATATATTTCATATTTCTAAATTTTTTATTTGCGTTGCATTAGAGATGCTTTAAATGTTTTCTCTTCTGTGTGAATCTGCAAAGTGATATGTAGCTCTAACCTGCCGATTAATTTTCTAATCATCGCTGTTATTCGTCTTTTCATGTCCAGTTTTGTTTTTCTCTTTGTTCCTTGGTATCTTCTGGAGAAGCCTGAAATGGAAGTATCACAGATCCAATTTAATTGTTGGATATTCTTCTCAAATGCACTTTGCGCCCTGGCTTTGAATTTCTCAATTTTTTCGGTGATTGGTAGAACTAGTGCAGTAACCATGCGTGTAGCTGGTGTCCTAAAAGACTGGATACTTATTGCCCTTTCAACAGTTATTTTTCCTGAATCAACAATCACCAATCTAAATATCATTGGCTATGCAATTGGTACACTTCTTTACTCCATTTTAACTTTGATAATGCCTTTGTTTGGGTTTCCTTTTTAGTTGCTAAAATTATGAGTTGGTATAAATGATTGGTGGATAAGAGGGTATACTGTGGGTCTCACAAAGTGTGTGATTAAAATTAATGGTTGCCTTTGAAAACTAACTGGTTAGCAACTAAATAGGAAACATAAGCAAAGGCATTGTTCAAACTGATTACCTTGAAGATATATTTAATAAATTGTTGTTTGCACAGCCTTGTGTGGTGTTGTCATGTACAACTACTTGAAGCTCAGGGATGTCCATTTATCACAGACTTCTGTAGAGAGTATCGCAGAACGAGTAGCGAAGGTAAACATTCTTGCTTATGAACCATTTTACTCTAATTTTTCTCTTATGTTGTCTGAATTTCAATATGTAGACCTCATCTTCTACCTATAATCATGCATTCATATGCGTGTAATATTAAATTCAAGCTTGGTTCATTCAAGTGTCATGATGGTCTTGTTAAACATCGAAATGAATTTTCTTTAACTCCCATATTGCATCCTCAGTTTATGATGTTTTTACGGGGAAGATTTTCGATTCAACCCTGTAATTTTGAAAAGCACCAGTATGTTTCCAGAATTATCATTGCATGGTGTCATTCACAATGTTTGTTTGTGTTGCTGATAGCCATAATCTGAAAACTTGCGTCAGCTACAATTTATAAATATTTAATTAAAATGTATTTTGTACTTTTGAGTTTGAGATTCAGACTACAAAATCTGATAGTGAAACAAATAGGTGGAATGGATAAATAAAATTTATCACACAAAATAAATTAACAATGGAAAAACTTGAAGATGACCAAATGACAAGAAAATAGACTATCAGCCTTACTGATCAGAGGCAAAAAACAATCCACTACTTTTATGCTTCTGTTGAAGTAGGGGCAATGTGGGGAAGGGGACTAGGAGACAATGGAAATTTCCAAATTTTTATTCTATTGCTAAGTAGAGGGTGGCTAAAACTTTAAAATACAGATTAGAGGTTAGAAGACAACTTTCAAAATTTCAATGGCACAACGACCACACTTGCCTGGCAGACATTAATCTTCTTCCGTCATTGTAATTTATACTGAGTAGCTCATAAAGGTCTTGGGATAACAAAACTACTTGAGGACGCAAAAATTGACTTCCGATATAAAGTTGGTGTGTTTGGCTTAGTCGAGTGAACGAACAGGAGGCAGGGGATGAAAGAGAAGAAACTTCGAAGTTTGTTTCATTCTTTTTTTAGTCTCTATTTTAAGAATAATATTTTGTTCCCTCCTTTTCCTTCGCTATTTAAACAAATGCAAATTAACCTTTTTCCTTCCATTTCCTTCATTCGTTTTCCCTCATTGCCTGTAATATCTTTTTCTGAATCTATATCTTAATTTTTTATTTGAATATATGTCTTCGTGAAGATTGTATAACCTGTTTCTGCTAAATTCCTTTAGATTCATGGCTCTCTTTTGATGCACAACATGATTTGCTTCCCAGTAAAACACGCACATATTTTCTAATTCTGCTTCTCTATTCAATTTTCACAGGACCTTAAGATGGAAAAGAAGTCATCTGATCTGTATGTCCCCGATGACATAATAAACAATAGCAGTGGAGGCAAGGCCGGCTGGAATGCTTCCCCCCTGAATTTACATGTGGACGAAGAAGCACCTCTAGTTCCTTCTTCGAGGGTTTCTCATCTGGGCCGAAACCAACTAAGCAGCCACAAAGCATGAGTCAAATCATTATCTTTTGCAGCTTCACTGTCATTTTAGGGTGAATTTACTTGTTAGAAAAGGTGAAACAGTGGATAAGATGAGGTCCGAAATATCCTTCCATCTCTTTTTGGGAAATGTTATCATTCTTTACTGGGCGTGATGCGATCAATATTTTTCTCTGATTCGTTGTAGAAACTTGATATAGTTTAAGCATGCAATGAAATATTATAGTCTTTTGTATGGTTCTTTGGTGTCTCTAAAATCATTTATACTATTTTCGAGGATTCTCTGAAGTGCAATGGAGGACAGCTAACAGGTTTGTAGTCTACGGATTCTCACTCTCGATTCATGATATTTTGTCGTATTTGTATGAATAAACATTGATACCTTTAAATGAAGATGGAAAGATTGCGACATGGTTGTGGTTGTGATTGTGCAGTGCTTGTAGAGCGAAAGAAGGAGAGGTTGGTTAGGGTGAGTGATGTAGAGGACTAAACTTGGTGGCAGCTCAAGGTGGTGGAGTTCTGTGGCCGACGGTTGCAGCCACTGAAAGTCGAGGAAAAAATATTCTCATTAATCCTAAATGATTCTATTGTTTCCATCGAAATTTCAAAACTTGTCTAACGTGGCTCAAATTGATTTATAAATAAGACCTTCACCTCTTCGTTAAGAGCAGAGTGTAATAAACTCTATCTCTAAATAAAGATGTCCGTTTCTTATCTCCATGAGTTTCTAAGTTTTTCTTGTTCCTTAGTTTCCTTTAGTAAGAACAAGATTTGAGTAGAATAATAAGTATGCTTTGCAGTTCCCTTTTTGTAGGGATGGCAAAAAAATTCATTCAACCCGATATGCGTGGGATTCGGGGTGATCACCCGCCTAATCGGGTAAATAGGGTAGGGGCGGGATTGGGGTCGTTGCCCCAAAGCGAATATGATAAACATGGTCCACTATCTGTTTCGTTTAAAGTTAATTTCAAATTTGGTATTGAGTCCTTCTAATTTGCAGTCATCATTGAGTAACTCCCTTCTATGTAGAGAAATTTTAAGAACTATCTCAATCACAAACGCAAGGAGATTAATTTGGAAGAATTGTTAGTCCGTTTGCGGATCGAGGAAGACAATAGAAACACTGACAAGAAATCTATTGTTCAACTTGAAGTTTTTTATTAAATGAAAAGAAAATATTCATCATCCTTTTTAAAAAGAATGTGAGTTCTTAACAAATTTGAAAAAAAAATATTCACTAAATAAAGATATAAAAAATAAATAAATAAACGAGACCGGGGACCTACCCACCCTGTTTCGAACCAATCCCGTCCCGCTTTAACCTAGTACGACGATAGTGCAAGATAACAAAAATATTCGAAGGGACAGGAGAAGGAAACGGTCGACCCGCTTTATATCTGCCTCATTGTCATTCCTACCTCTTTGAGGATCATATGCATTAGAAAGATATGACATTACTAACTGAATGACTCGGTACGAAGTATGATGACCTCTACAATAAAGCAAGTCGTGCTTGTGTTGATGTCCAAGAGGGGATGTTTTGGGGCTAGAAATAATCATACATTATTCTGATTTTTTATTTGATAAATCAACTGTGCTAGATGTCTTGTTTTATTAAGAAAGAAAGAAAAATAATACGAAAGTGGGTTTGATGCACATTTTTTAGGAGAGAGTGAATTTTTATTTTTATTTTGTGATATGATATGATGTGGTGGTGAATGTGATTGAAAAATAAGGAAAAATTATTGATATGATGAAAAATATTATTTTATTGAAGAATGCATAGTTGAAAATGAGTAGCAGAATGAAAATGAGAATGTGGCTCAAACATGAGCTAAATCAAAAATAAAAAAAATTTGTCGCGTTTAAAAGTCTCATGTGATCCCATCAACCAAATTCATTGTTGAGTTCAAAATCGTTGCTCGAAAGCAATCGTGCAAATTACTATCTCAACCACTAGATCATCGCTACTCCTGGATCAACCCATCGAATCTTCTATATCCGTGATCAAAAATCAAAATCTTCAGTAGAAAAGTGCAATCTCTATCATAAACTCATGTCGCAAGAACTGACGAGCGGCAATTGACCTGAATGGTAGTTGATAATGGCAATTGACAATTATGGTACTTGCCTACTTTAATATTTTAATTAATAACAAATGATTGACCACAGACAAGCTTAAATGATTCCTACTCTTTAATTAATGACTAATAATTGACCCCAAACACAGCCTAAATAATTTCTAGTCCGATAAACCGCATAACAATTTGATTATTTCCAACCATGTCCTTCAACTCTGATTCCTCCCCAACATCCACCGCCCCCGCCCCCGCCCCCGCCAGCACCAGAGACTGGATTTTTCCGTCACCCTCTTTCACTCACTCCTCCTATCGTGATTTCCACTCCGCCCCTAGAAGAAGATTCTCCACCTATCCACGTGCTCCCAAAACCACACACTCTCAATTCCAGTCCCAAAATTTAAGCCAAGATTCTAGTTCTTCTGGTTCAATTTCCAAGTACACCGGTTTAAGACGACGACGTTTTGAGATCGGTTATGATCGTCAGGATGACAAGTCACCGGCACCACCAGATGATGCTCGTGTTGATAAGGCGGACGATGCTTCTGCTTCACAATCGCTTGGGAATTGTGAGGTTCAGGATGATAAAACGAAGTCGTTTTTGAAGACTTTTACTGGTTTTGCAAATGGCCGGATTAGAATTCGGTGGCAATTGGCCATTACTGTTGCAGTTGACTTCTCCTCTCTCTCAGATAGTTATAATTGAATAATTTTATCAACTATTAATAGCTGATTATTTTTAATGTGGCATCAATTTGAATGCAGATATTGATAACAGTGCTTTCGTCCTTGGTGCACAAGAACTTTTGTTTGCATAGTGAGGTTATTGAGTTACAGGTGATTACATAATTTATTTTGGATGAATGATAATTACTTTTGCAATAATGTGAACTTTTTTTTCAATCTAGAAGAGTATTTGATCGTTCGTTGAGTTTTTTTTTGCTTTCATTGTTATTACAAATTCTTGAACATCTGATACTATTCTGTTTTGAATTGAATGTTTTTCTTACAGGGCTGCATCAGTGTGAAAAAGCTTTCTATGACGAAAGTTGTATATCGTTTAAGATGGACGATGTGCATGTTTCTGTAATCAAAAATAAAACTAAGCTTTGTTGACGAAATTTCGTAAATATAGAAATTGTTCACATTATAGTAGACAAATTTATTATTCTAGCGACTCCAAAAAAAGATAAATCATGTAATTGTGCATTTAGTCATTCCATATGAGCAATTCTTTTCATTTTGATGTTTATGAAAGTACATTCTGAATTATTTAACATTTCACAGTAATGTTAAATGGGTAAAAACTAATGTAACTTGTATGGTAAAATGGTATCGTACATCAAAGTTTTGATTTTGATATTTATTTTAAAGTAATGGAAATAATACTAATGGAGCTGGATTATAGATGATTGGAAAATATATCAGCAAGTTGTGAGTTATACATTGATTAATATATAAACTTAGAGAAATTTTTCCTAATTATAAAAGCTTTAATTCTAGTTACGATGAGGTTTAAGGGCTCAGAAGAACATCAATTTTCTGGGAGTTGGCAGTTGTTACTCTGGACCTCTCAGTTGTAAAACCTGTGATTAGCTGGGTCACGAGAACATAAAGATGTATTAAGTTATTTTTTAACTTCTGCAATTTCTTTCATACATGTACTTGAACAGTTTTTGGATGACATTTTTACCAATATTATTTTACGACATTTGTATGAATTGGTCAAAGTTGTGTTGCATTACAGTTTTCTGTGGCATATAGTTCCCAAAATGGTTAGTCCATTGGATGAATACACTAAATGGTAAAAGGACATTGCCAGAAGTTATTCCTCCTAGTTTTCTGATCCCCTGTTTTTCCCTTGTTTGCAGGATAAGATTTCCAAGCTCAATGCCGGAATAAAATTTTGTGATTTGTTCGATTCTGTTGATACTAGTGATTCATCATCACATAATGCTGATAAAACTGCTAACAAAAACTTGAAAATTTCAGCTTTAGCCATCTCTATCACACTGGTCTCCCTCCCTTTCCTTTTCTTCAAGTATGTTGGCTATGTCTCAAATTCAAGAAGATCATTAGACAATAATGCAGAGGAAGTATCTTTAAACAAGCAGCTAGCTTACCGGGTTGATGTATTTTTATCAGTTAATCCATATGCTAAGCCACTGGCCTTGTTGGTTGCTACTCTACTAGTGATTGGTCTTGGTGGGTTAGCGCTTTATGGTGTGACAGATGATGGTTCGGTTGATTGCCTTTGGTTATCTTGGACATATGTAGCCTCCTCAGGGAATCATGCAGATTCTGAAGGCATTGGCCCCAGGCTAGTTTCGGTTTCCATTAGTTTTGGGGGGATGCTTATATTTGCGATGATGCTTGGACTTGTTTCTGATGCGATTTCTGAGAAGTTTGACTCACTGAGAAAGGGAAGAAGTGAAGTAGTCGAGCAAAACCATACTCTTATCCTTGGATGGAGTGACAAATTGGTAGGTCGTTGATTAATTTCAAAGCATCAACATCTTATTTAATTTTCTTTTAGGTCTTGTAAGAAAATGCTGGCTTTATTAACTGACAATTATAGTCTATCTTTAGGGATCACTTCTGAATCAACTTGCCATAGCTAATGAGAGCTTGGGTGGAGGAATAGTCGTCATCATGACTGAACGAGACAAAGAAGAGATGGAACTTGACATTACTAAAATGGAGTTTGATTTTAGGGGAACATCTGTCATATGCAGAAGTGGAAGCCCCCTGATTTTAGCTGACCTGAAAAAGGTGAACATGTAATTTTAGTTATTTTAATTTTCCATATTCTTTTTCTGCCCAGTAGTTTTTACAACAAGGGATGTGTTCTCTTCGTGGATAAACATACCTTCATCACTTAATTATCAAACTAGATGTACCATTACTCTAGTTGGGCAACTAACTGGAAGAGGTTTGTCAGGTATCTGTCTCTAAGGCTCGAGCAATAGTTGTCCTCGCTGAAGATGGGAATGCTGATCAGGTTAGTCAAAAAAGGAATGCATCCATCTAAACTTACAGTTTAGAATGATTGATATGTAATAAACTTGCTGATGTATGCAGAGTGATGCCCGTGCATTGAGGACAGTATTAAGCCTGACAGGAATTAAAGAAGGTCTGCAGGGACACATAGTGGTTGAAATGAGTGATCTTGATAATGAGGTCCTAGTTAAGCTTGTTGGTGGGGATCTTGTTGAAACTGTTGTAGCACATGATGTAATTGGTAGACTCATGATTCAGTGTGCTCGGCAGCCTGGACTTGCCCAGGTCAGCTGTTGTTATATTAATTTTTCTGTGGGTGATATCGTTAAATTGCGTGATATGGAATCATTTTAGTCGTAGACCACTAAGATGCTGATATTTCATAGTTATCTCTATATTTGTTCAGTGCATA